AGATTCCAGGACCACTCCTGTTTTTGAAAAAGGAAAAGTTATTCTTAAGCTCACATCTAGAAAGACTTTGGCCTTGGGTGATATGCTATATGTGCCATCAATCAGAGTTCATTTAATCTTTGTAGCACTATTAGGAAAGGTGGGGTTAAAGTGTCATTTGAGTCTGACAAGATCATTATGACAAAAAAATAATGTTTTCATGGGGAAGGGATATTGTGATCAAGGACTCTTCATTCTAAATGTTTCTGGAAATATTAATGAATCAAGTACTTCTACTTATATTTTTGACTCGTATGATATATGGCATGCTAGATTAGGACATGTAAATTCCTCCTATGTTTTGAAATTACAATGACTATGATTGATTAATATGCATGATAAACAAAGTAGTAAGTGTGATACATGTGTAGAATATAACAAAGAAAACATGTTTTTTCTATAGTGCCAAACTAAACCGATAGGGTTAATTCATACTGATCTCGCTGATTTAAAAACAAATCATGTCTAGAGGAGGTAAAAATTATTTTGTGACCTTTATAGATGATTTTTCTAGATACACCAAAGTTTACTTAACCAAACATAAAGATGAAACCTTGGATGTGTTTTTAACCTATAAAGCAGAAGTAGAAAACCAATTGAATAAGAAGATTAAGAGGATTAGATCACATAGAGATGGTGTGTACTGTTTAATGAATTTTGTGTTAAAGAAGGTATTATTCATGAAGTGACCCCACCATATTCACCTGAGTCTAATGGACTAGTTGAGAGAAAAAATAGAACCCTTAAGAAAATGATGAATGTGAGGCTTGTTAGTTCTGGTGTACCTGATAACCTTTGGGAGAAGTCTTGCTTAGTGCATGTTTTTTACAAAATAAAATACCCTATAAGACACCTGGAAAAACTCCTTATGAACTTTGAAAATGTTAACAACCTACCTTAAATATCTAAGAGTGTGGGGGTGTCTAGCTAAGGTATTGCTACCTGATCGTAAGAAAAGGGAAATAGGCTCCAAAATCTCTGATTGAATGTTCTAAAGCTATGTTGAACATAGTGTTGCCTATAGGTATCTAGGTTTTAAAAGTAACATACTTGAGAAAAATTCTATAATGGAGACGAAAAATGTTGGGTTTTTTGAACATGTGTTTCCCTTAAGAGTTAATGAGATGTCTCAACCTGATGATGATAATAATAATGGTAATACCATGAATGAGGATTTGAGAAGAAGTAAAAGACAGATAAAGGAAACTTCCTTTAAAGATGACATTTATACTTATCTTGTTGATAATGATCCAATAAGCTTTGTAGAATCTATCAATGCTCCTAATGAGAAAAAGTGGGATAAGGCCATTAGAACTAAAATTGAATCAATTCAGAAAAACAATACTTGGACTTTAGTAGATTTGCCTAAAGGAACAAAACTCATTGGTTGTAAGTGGATCTTTAATAGAAAGTGTCATCTTGATGGATCCATAGAGAAGTATAATGCAAGATTAGTAGCAAAAGGTTTTACTCAAAAACCCAACATAGATTACTTTGATACTTTTTCTCTTGTGACTAAGATTTCCTCTATTCAAGTGTTGTTAGCTCCAGCAGCTATCCATATACTAGTGATACATCATATAGATGTTAAAACAACCTTTTTGAATGGTGATTTAGAGGAGGAAGTTTATATGACTCAACTTGAAGGGTGTGTTGTACCTGGTCAAGAGAATAAAGTATGCAAACTCTTAAAATCCGTGTATGGGTTGAAACAAACATCAAAACAATGGCATGAAAAACTTGATAATGCATTGTCTTGTGATGGTTTTTCACCTAATGATGATGATAAATGTGTATACTCTAAATCTGAAAATGATGATTGTGTCACTATATGCTTATATGTGGATGACATGTTAATCTTTGGTACATGCAATGAGATTGTCGCTAGAACTAAATTGTTTCTAGGATCAAATTTTGAAATGAAATACATGGGTGAAGCCAATGTGATTTTAGGTATTAGAGTCAAAAGGAAGGGAGATAGAATATTACTACCCTAAGAACAATACATTGAGAAACTTCTTAAGAAGTTTGGGTTTTATGCTGTGAGTACCCCTTATGATGCTAATTATAAATTAATGAAAAATAAAGGAGAATCTATATCTTAGCCTTAGTATGTGTAGATAATTGGGAGTTTACTACACTTGATGAGCTTTTTTAGACCAGATATTGCTTATGCAATAGGTAGATTGAATATGTACACTCAATGTCCAAATTAGGAACATGAGGATACACTTGCTAGGCTTATGAGATACTTAAGAGGTTCAATGCTATTGAATATAGTGGATTTCTTGCTATACTAGAAGGGTACAATGATGCTAACTAGATCTCTGATTTAGATGAGATAAAATCCATTAGAGGTTATGTATTCACACTTGGGGGTGGTGCGATTACATGGAGATCAGTCATGCAAACAATTATTGCAAGATCAAAAATGAAATTTGAATTTGTTGTTCTTGAGATGACTGGTAATGAGGCTGAGTGGTTGAAAAACTTCTTAGCGAAAATTCCACTAGGAATGAAACCAACCTCATCGGTATCAATACACTATGATTGCCAATCGACAATAGCTATAGCTAAAAATAATAATTACAATGGAAAGAATAGACAAATACAATTGACACACAATTTGGTGAAGCAGCTGCTAAAGAGTGAAACTTTTTCCATTGATTATGTGAAGTTAAAACATAATCTAGCAGATCCTCTAACAAAACCCCTTGGAAGACAAATGATATTAGAAACATCGAGGGGAATGAGACTTAAGCCGCTTGCAAACAAACAAGTGATGGTAACCCAACCTTTGTGATTGGAGATCCCATGAATAAGATTCATATGGGTAAAAACATGTCATTTGTTAGTTCTAATAGCACTAAATTGATTTTAATCAATTATGTCCCTTCATATGGTGTGTGTGAAAGTGCTAGAGATTGCATTATTGAGAGGTTAAACTTTGTCAATAAAATTCTATGGTGAAAGAATTTTAGCTTAAACAAATATTTTAATTATTTTCATATCCCCTATAGGTGGTGTATGATTTGCAGCATACACTTGATGAAATCACCTATATGAGTGTCGAGTGGGACTGCTCGCATGAGATCTTGGCATGATCTTTAGAGCACTCATGAATACCAGGCACGCGCATGGCCTAGTAAGCTCAACACAATGATAACAACAAGGAGTAAGGGTGTATAGTTTTTGGTTCATACAACTTTTATACCAACTACACTGTATGTTACGTTTCTCAATCTAAGACTGGTTCATATAGTTTGCTATACCACATCCTATGAGACCCAAGATAAAAGTTTCTTATCATTCTTTTAATGTTTGAACTATTTGGGTCAAAAACTTTTTCATTCAACTTTCTTTTGCAATAAGTGGGGAATTGTTGTAAAACATCGATTGCAAAAAAAAAATCGTTGGATTGCAATGTTGATATTTATTAATTGGCAACAAGAAAAAAGTTTATTTGTGCAACGTTCAATTCCAGTGTTAAAATTTTTTATTGTTTTTATTTTATTTTATTGATTTTATTCTCTAGTTCTATAAACAGAGAATTCTTCTTTCATTCCAAGACACACCAAAATCAATTTTATCTTATTCTTCTTTCTTCTTAGTTTCATCCTCTTTTCCTCTTCTAAAAATATTTTATATTATTTTATACTTTCTTAAAAGATTCTTGTTAGTTTTGAGATTCCTAGAAATTCTAAAAAAATTTTGATAGACTTACACTTACGAATAAGTTCTTAACAAGAGTGAAACTACACGCCTCACCTTTTCTACAACAATTCTCCTCTCATATTTGCGGCCAACAAATTAACATGAGAGCGACCTAACATGATAGGCCTTTTATTATCCAAAGCCATATATACGTAATTAAACTCAACACCAACCTTCTTTCGGGGACCAAACTTGTAGGTAAATAAATGTCATTTCACTGTTAAAAGTACTGATATTAGTGTCATTAGTGGAATGATAGCATCTGTCTTTTCTATAACAACATCTATGTGTTTGACATTTATGTAAGTAAATAAATAAAAACTTTTCATAATAACGGTTATAATAAGTTATTAAATAAAAGTGTAAAAGAAATTGTGAACATCAAAACGGTTGTAATTATAATTTTGATTAGGATGTATTTGTCCTGTAAATACTTTTACATAGCCGTCACATATTATTAGATGACTATGAACTCTTTACTAATTATTTTTAAAATCACATTTAAAACTATTTTAATTATTTGACAATGTAAAGCTCGCTGAGAAAACTCAATGCAAAAAACTATGATGAGAACATATCAAAATTAAACAGTGCACGAAAAATAAAATTTTACAAATATAAATGACGCTAGTTTTTTTTTTAAATAATACTTTTATTTAATTATTTTTCTCTAATAATGATTATAAATTAATGTGGATAACTCATTATAAATTAAAATAAGGTTTATCCAAATTGAAATGGAAAACTTAATATTGTTATTGGATTAATTTTATATAATTATTAATTAATATCATGAAAATAAAATAAGCGTGTAGTTCCTTGGTATATCAATTATTCTACATCGTAAAGAAATAAATAATAATATTATAAAAGACTTTTACTTATTTTATCTTTTTATTTCCGAAGGATGTATTCTTATTTTTAAATCAAAATTTGTTCAATATTTTTTGTTTATTAAGACAATTGTCGAAGAATACAATTACACCTGACATACAATTAAAACATCTGGATTCACATTTTAGAAGGCAGAAACAAAATGCAGTGCAATACTCTCCATAGAACTCAATCAAGCTCCAGAAGATACAAAGTAATCAAAATGCACAGCTCGAAGTAATTTATTTTTGAAATATATCATAGTTGAAAGTTATTTCTAAGAACAACTCATCCACAAAACGGCATTTTATTTATCATAAAATAGACAATAACAGCATCAAAGCCTCCTATCGTTCTTATACAATCAAACATATACAAATTCTCACAGATTCAATAATCCAAAAAGGGATTAATTATACATAATCTTTATTTTCTTCTTTTGATAACCAGAAAGAGAACAAAGTCCCTCCACAGGAACTATGTCATCCTTTATTTTACAGTAGGCATCTGATGGACTCTCCTTTCAGCATGTAATCAAAAGCTTTGTTAATTTCTGAGAATGGAACGGTGTGAGTGATGAATTTCTCCAGTTCCAATTCCTGGAGATAAAGACCATATTATCAGATAAGACATCAATTTGAATGATCCTTATATACCTCAGAAATCAATATATATACACGCGTGTGTGTATATGTAAACTTACCCCATTCATGTATTTCTCCACAACTGAAGGAAGATCAGTGCGAGGTTTGTAGTTACCATAAAAGGTAACCTTAAGAGTCCTCTCGTTCAAAAAATTCACTGGATGAGTTTTGAATGCATCATCTTTGTTTTGCACTCCAACAAGTACAGCAACACCCCAACCCTGAAGAAATAATTAAGGATCAGCCTTAGAAGCTTCACATAAATTTCTTAGCACTAAATAGAGCATGCAAGGCATGATTTATGTACATCGTGAACACATTCGAATGCTCTCACCATGGCCTGGATGCTGCCAGTACATTCAACAGCACGATCCACTCCCCCATTTGTCATTTCAGCAATTACCTGGAAGCCAACATTCACATCTCAATCAACATCAAAAAAATAAAAAACAATTTTGAAAAAGAAAAAAAAAAAACATCTTTAAGAGACAAGAATGCACATACTATTTTTTGAAAGGACAGGAAGTAGTGCTACCGTAGGCTGAACTTTTCAGCTTCACTATAATTTCCACCGGGTGTGCTAGCCCAACAAGCACCAGGAGTCGGGGCTTCATATGGTCGTGATGGAGGGCTTCTAGGTTGAAAAGATCAAAAAGGGAAAAGAAAATAAACACAGTTCCTAATATGAAGTTGCGTATAGTATCTGAAGTTTGCTAAATCTCCTAACCTGATACTGTGGACTTCCCCAAGAGCCTGGATTTCCATCTTCCCAGTTGTACCTAATTTTATATTTCACCATCAGAATTCATACATCATATATATACTAACTAAATAGTGCCGGAGACTCTATGGAGACAACAATGTTTCTAACTAACAAATTCCTTATAACCCTCTAGTTCTAGTTGTTTCTATTTGGAACATTAATGTCCACGTGGAAATTCATTAACTAAGACATCGTTTTTACGGTATACAAATTGGAAGAAAGAAATCTTTTTAATAAAGCAAAAATTATGTGAAACAAAAATCAGAAAACAGTATATAAAACTCAACAAGGAACCATGTTAATTGAACAAACCTTGGAGGACTCATTGGAGTATATGGATTCCATGCTCGGTCACCCATAGGTGTCCTCATTCCATCATGAATAGGTGTTGCTATAAATAGCAGTACATTTATCAATAACCGAACATAACCATCGGTCAAAAAAGAAGTTAGAGTGTTAATCCTACCAGATGATTAAATGAAAACTTATTACAATAAAATCAAACAAACCTCCAGGATCTCTCATTGGAGTCATATATGGATGTAGGGGAGTCCGACAAGGATGCATTGGGGTTTCACTTCCCATTCCATAGAGAGATGTATCACTGGAAGAACACAAAAGAGTTAGAGGATTGAACATCTTCCATTGCATACTTGGAATCTTAAATTACATTTACATAAAACTCACCGATATGGAGTTATAGCCACATGGTCAGATATATGGTTGCGGTCAACTGCAAATCACCAAGTAAGCAACCATGAAAATACCAAAATACATACACTACAGGTTTTTCTTCACAAAGACG